CCGGCCTCGGTGTGAGGCTCCCCCGAGGTTTTGGGCACCGCTTTGCACAATTCGGAATAAAAAGTTGCCCTCGCTGTCCTCAAACTCGAGGACTCCGGCTGCTGCTGCTGCTGCTGCTCCGGGAGAGCGGAGTTGCAGCACCGAAAATAAAATTGGCCACCAGCAGAGCGCTGACCCAAAGTAGGAGATTTCACAAAATCCTGGCAGCGCTCGGTCTCTGTATGGTTGTGGCACAGCGGGGCATTTCCTGATGTAAGAAATGGCAAAATAGCACGGATTAGCAAATGCTGTTACTCACAGGGCTGAAGTGGTTGAGTTTCAGTCTAAGGAGCTTAAAAAAAGTTCTGCCTGGAGGGGTTGTATACTCTGGTGGATCTTAAACCAGCAGGGGAGGTGAAGGTAATTTAATAACTGGTTACCTTTTCATTGCAGGTTTCATGCTTTATATTGTGTTCACCATCAAAACACAGAACAGGGATTGAACTTCACACCACTGCTGAGGCATCCAGCAGCACTGAATAGCTCAGGGTAGAAAGTGGGAAAAAATTCAAACAATTAAAGAAAATAAACCTTCCTGTAGCAAACAGAAAGTAAAAGATATTGACATTGATTTCCTTTTTTTTTTTTTTTTTTAACAAAGTTGTAAATTAAGTCCTGTGGAAGGGAATGTTTTCTGAGGATCCAGAGTTAAATCAGAGCAAAAAACATATGGGAAAAATAGACTGAAACTATTCCTTTGGGTGTAGTGCAAATGGAAACACTCCTGTTGACCAGCAACACTTTGGGTCAGACAGATACAAAGGGGGACTCTTAATTTATATTGAACAAAGTAATTTTTATCAAGTTGGACATCTCCAGATGCTGAAAGAAAGCTGTGCCAGGGTACATTTCATTTGATAGGGACACACAGAAGGATCTGCACACAGGAGCACTGCTGCCCCTTGCACTCCCACCTGGACCTTTGCATTCAGGCACTCTGCTGTCACAGGAAAGAACCAAACCACGATGGCATTAACAGGGAAGCCCCAAAATCCCAGGATTCCAACCTCAGTTTTTGCCTGAAGTGCCCTGAAAGGAGCAGCAGTTTGAGGTGAGCTCAAGGTTCACAGCCCCAGCTCTGGCTGCTCCATCAGAGCTGGCTGGATCCTGAACTTGCCCACACTGGTTTGGTTTATTTATTATTTTGGGATGAGTGCAGCTTCCCTCGTTCAGAGCCTGTTATAACCATGTGAACTATCACAGAGAAGTACTTTTCCCCCCAGAGGGATGGATTTACATGAGGGTTTTTACACACATTGTTTTCCTAGTGCAGGAACATGTGCCAACAGCCACCTTCTGCTGCTTTACAGCACCTCAGCAAAACCAGAATTAACTTTCTGCACTGGACACATTTTATTAGAGAAAGATCTGCTTTTGTGATCATGGAAGCACTTATTACAGACTAAGCCCAGGGAAATTGTGGTTTGTCAAGTCAGACATGAACAGAAAAACCATTATTTCAGGTTCTGATGAATAGGTTGTTTGGGCAAGGTCTCTGTGAGGCAGGTAGTGAGGCAGTGAAAATTGTGGATTTTGCATTACAGGGAGATTCATGGCTCTCCAGAGCAGCAGAAGCTGTGCCAAGGTCCAGTGGTTTATTCTGGCAGTAACTGGTGCAACTGAGCTGGCTCCCAATACAACTCCTGCAAGGGGAGCCAAGGACAAGTGTGCTCAGCTCTGTTCCACCAAACCTGGGTAAACCCTGCTGGCAGGAAAACCAGGATGAGCCCCAGATCCTGCCCTCCAGCCGTGCTCTTTGAGCCCCCTTTAAATACCTGGCACCACAAACCCGGCATGAAACACCAACTGAACTCTGCTGCCCTTGGAGAACGAGCTGAGCACTGAGAAACCCTGCAGCTCCCGAGGGATCCACAGGTGAGAGGCTGCAAATTTATCTTCTGGAATATGTAAAGGAGCAAGGAAACCACAGAACCATCAGGCAAACCCAGCCCAGAGCCGGCAGCCCGATGGGTGATGAACCCATTCAAGAATCGGAGTGCAGCAGCACCACGGCAGCCCCGGAGCCCCGCTGGATGCTCCCATGTCAGACGCAGATGAATCACCACTGCTATTATTTTCCTGGATTCCACTTCCCTCCAGGGATTGGCCTCCCAGCCCTCACGTAGGGAACAGCAGCAGCCCCGATCTGCTGCTTTCAAGTGCAAGAGCTGCCCGGGCTCCTTTGTTCGAGGGAAGCCGATTGAAAGGGATCGCACGTTGTGCTGGAGCTGCGCTGGGAGAAGCGAGCGGCGCCCTGGGGCCGCTGTCCCGGCCTCGGCAGGAGCCCTCCAGCCTCGTACGTGCTGTTCCCTCTGTCGCTGCCGCCCCGGGGGAGCGGAGCTGCCGCTTCGCAGGCCGAGCTCTTCCTGCAGCCCCTGTGATCTCTCCTGAGCAGGCTCCGAGGGCTTCCCGAGCGAGCGGGGCCTTCGCACCTCCAGCGCTGCTGGCCCAGGCACAAAGAGCTGGGGAGGAGCCCCAGTAACACATCCCTGCACACACACCCGGCCCGGGGACACGGCTCCGAGCACCAACAAACTCCCGAGCCAGGGACAGCTGAGATGTTCTTGCTGGTCCCGCAGCCAGATCTGCCAGCTCAGACACTCCTCAGCAACCTCGGCAACAAATTTTCCTCTCTAAGCCCACAGAGTTGAAGAACAAACACCGAAGTGGGAGAATCTCTGCTGCAAAGGGACACAGACATTGTCTGGCTATCAAATAAAGGTGGATGCCATATAAGAAATCTTTCTGATTGCTGATTTAGGCACATCATCACAGTGGCTTTGGCAGTCCTGCACCGACCTGTGAGTTCTGCAGCAGTGGGCAGAGCTGCCTCTGGGGTGTGCAGGGCATCAAACCCAGCACTGGTGGCTGTGCAAGCAGAGGAGCTGCCACCCTTCCCTTCCCGTGGAGAGCAACTCCACCCCAAAACTGCTGCGACACGGGGGAATGGAGAGACAGCGACACTGCCACCAGCCTGGCACTGCCACCAGCCTGGCACTGCCACCCAAACCCATCCCCACCCCCACTCAAGCCTCCACTGGTTCTTCTGCGCTGTTTTCCTGGACAAGACAGAGCCTGTCCTGAGCCTGACTCCAAGAAAGGATTCCCAAGGCACAACGCAACCCCTAAACCGCAGAGCAGGTACCAAAACCGCCTTTGAAATGGAGCTGCCAGAGTCAGGCTGAACTGCCCGGTCTGCCCGAGCCAGCTGAAAGGAATGGATGGGGTTGGATAACTTGCAGGCACCTCTGCATGTTTATTGCCCACATTGTGTTGAGCATTAGCACATCAAAGGCTCCTGATGAGCCCTGAATTAAATGATGAGGAGAGGAATGGCCCAAGGTGAGGTTGGTAACTGTAGGGCTGCAGGCATTTTGCTGGAAGAGATGGAAAACAAAGAGTGAAATTCCAGGGAAAGCTATTTCCATACTGGAGATTTCAATCGTTCGGCAAAAGCCTTGGAAAACCAAACAGAAAAACTTGGTTAAGATCGTAAACTGTGGATGAACAAACTTGGATTTTCCTAGTCCCCAGGGTCATTGCCAGATAATAAATGTGTATTATCCTGGAATCTCAAACTGATGCTTTAAATTATCTGCAAGAACTCATCTCACAACAATGCAGGTGTGTGAATTCTTTAGAAATTGTTTCATTAGAAAACAAAGAAGTCACCACAGGACTGAAAAAAAAAAATAAACCATAAACGGCTCCACCAAAGGGGTTGAATTAAAAAGGAAGGATTTTGGCTGAGTGGAGTCCAAGGTATGAGAACATAATTTTGAAAAAACTTTTCATTTTTTTTTTCTCTGTGTTTGGTTTTGTTTACTAACCAGCTTCTGGGGTGGAAAGCCAAGTGCCTGTTCCAGCAGGATTTGTGAAGCAAAGCTGCTGCTCAATGCCCACGGTGCTGAGCCCTGCCCGGGGCTCCCAGTGGGTACCGGGCCCAGTGTCCCCTTTATGCTGGTGGAGCTGGTCCAGCCAATGTCCCCGAGAAATCCATGGGAAGCGTTGTGTTCCCAGGCCCACATCAGCTCCGGAGAAGCTGGACAGGCACTGATGCCCTCTGCAATTCAAACAACCTGTGATTGCCTCATTCAGAGCTGAGCTGCTTCCTGGGCAGAACCTTCACAAGTTCCTACGCCCAGAGCTTGCTGAGCGTCCTCTTCACTCCCAATCAACACTGCACAGCAAAAGCAGAAGTGGTTCTGCTCCCTGACATCAGGGAAATGAGTCCTCAGCCCCAGCCTTTAAAGCAATTCAGGTTCATGTACAGATGTGGCATTTGGAGCTCCAAATGAATGCAGTGAAAGGTCTTGAACGGGTGCAACACAACAGCTCTGAATATGGAATTATGCTCAAATACTAGAGAAAAGCAAGATTTAGTTCAAATCCCTCAGCTGGCTTTCTCTGCAAGATGAGCTCATGATTTATAAGTGTCTGTTATTGTTATT